CCTGCACGTGAGGGTGTGATGCTCCCCCCATACCTACCTACACACATCCTTGTCTCTGTGTCATTTATTTTGGTCTCACCCCACTTGATTTAACTACTGTAGTCCCATCAGTGTTAATAGAGATTTTTAACACCTTACTTATGAATATATAGGTCGTAAACACCACGGAACTGTGCACATCACCTCTCGCCTTAAATCAGTCTTTGTGTAGGCCCAATAGACAAGAACATGTTCTCTTGACAGACATTGATAACGCCGTTGAATCTTCATTCATGTGGCCAAGCCAGAGGAAGAGAAATATAGCAAGTTCATAAATAAACACGTGTGGAGACTATATAGTTTATAAAATCTTGTACAATTTTATTTAATGCTTGACATCACATACATTACATGGTTGCACTGTGTAAAGTAACTTTTTTAAGGGTGGCCTACCTAACACACTTTTGTCAGACATTATGGAAAGCAAATGATTATTCGAAAGTTTGAAGTGAACACATGGAGTACCCAAAGTAATTATGATTTTGTTTCTAAAATCGTGTATAATTTAGGTCAAATATGTCCACTCGTCAGGGTTTAATACTATGGGGAAACCACAAAGTCATTGTTTCCATGGGAAACTCTTTTTACTTTCGCTCAGAAAAACTTAAATATTTTGTACTTCTTTTAAAACGATGATTTTTTCACAATCCAAGGCACTCTCCAAGGTTTTGATCTGACAAAAATGCACACTAAATATCTCAATTATTAGCATCACTAGCTTAGAAATAAAATATTCATTAGCATCCCCAGCTTAGTATCATAATAAAATATTTGTTAGCATCCCTAGCTTAGTAATAATTTTTTTTTAGCATTCCTAGCTTGGTAATAAAAGATTATTAGCTTCCCTAGGTTAGTAATAAAATATTTGTTGTTGCATGTCTACTTTTTGCACATTTAGTTTAGTTTATCCAAGTCAGTTGAGAAATATCACATATAAATGTTGCAGCAGCTAGTGGTTGTCATAACAACATTGTTTGTTCACATAGAATTTCAACAAATGGTGCACGACATCCACCGCCTTTTATTACATTATTGTGACAAAATTTTGAGAAAAATTTGAGATCAAAGAAAGTTTAGAATGAGCTGCTGATAAAATTGAAGGTATGAAATAACAAGCCATGCATGGCACAGTCCCCGTTAGTTATCGAATTTGAAATAGTTAGTTTTGTTTATATTAAAATAGCTGGAATAATAAAAATGTCAGGAATATGATTATGATGATTGTTTAATATTAAAATGATTGACATTTGTATCTGATCGTCAAACGAGTATTGAGAGATATTGCTCTGGAACAGCGTTAAATAAAAAACAAAATCCTTTTTGAATGAGAATCTGTTTGTGCCAATCACATTTTTGTGTGTGAAAGTTATTGTAATTTAATGCTTAATGTTTAAAATGATTAAATATATGACCCTGTAATTTGCAGGCCTGCATGCCTGCGAAAAACGACCATGGAGCTGAAAATGGAGAGTGATTAGGAACGCAATACTATAAA